CACACTGGTTCCCGCAGAGCGGAACCGTTGCCAATGAAGGCATGATGGAAATGCGGCAAGCAGTCAATGTACAGATTCTGCCAAAAAGGGTCGTACGTTCCACTACATTGAATGCAGCTCTATAGTTGCAAGTCGAAAAACACTGCCGTCACAATTTTTTCCGCGGGTTCATTTACAAAAAAAATGATCTCATGTCTATGTTTGCATTTTCTGTGTTTATGAATTTAATTTGAAGTTGTGCTGCTTGTACTCAAGCAAGCGTGCTTCCACAAAATTTCCAGTCGTGCAACACAAGGCTTATCGCACGCACGCTTACAACGCGATATACAGACATCGGTTGCCAGATTCCTGTCATCATGACACGCATAGTGCACGATTAAAAAATCCATGATATTTTACATTCATAACACAAACACCAAAACAAAAATTCCCATCCCATTTCCGATAAAATACGCCCCAAATAAGTTCGCATGACTATTCTCGTATCTCAAGAGTCCAACTAATCGCCCAAAACTGAATTATTCATATTGCTACAAAGAGATCTACATATAGCGTGCCCGCCAATGAGACTGTGCGCTTTCATGACGTACATTTGGCAAGACACAGCTATCCAATCGCAGTACTCGTTCATGACATTCTGCTTCTTCAGCGACCATCTTGCGCGCGGGCGACAGCGCCGCAGTGGGCGAGTTATCTCGGACTACCAATCAATCGTGTTATGCAGCTTGTGTCAAAAATCAAAAGAGAGGCAAATAATTAAACAAAAATGTCTCTCCGTGACACAATTTGAGTCTTTTAAAAATCCCTGGATCAATGCTTTCACATATATTTGCTTTTTTAAATTTCACATGCACATTAAACATGTTGTCGTATGACAGTGAAGTTTATTATTCTAAACACATCACAAGGTATTTGATTAATCATAACCGAGACATCTTTTTGATCAACCGTTGGACGTTGTCCTAATTTTATATTCCGGAAAAACTGAAATACAAGCAGTGACAAGTGAGGAATTGGGTTTTTGTTTCTCGTTTCGTGTGGTTTGAAGGAATGTGAGAACAATAAAAAAGATCGTTGATTGCCATGGATGTCGAACAGATGCAGATTTATGGAATCATTTTATAGTTTATAACACACATTCCTGGCTTCGGTTAGATAGATTTTCACACCATACTTGTACATGTTGTATACAAAGGACAAAAAAAGACCCAAAGAGAGCACAAGGCTAGCACAAGCAGCATTCCCAACCTGTAGGGCTGTGATACATGTACATGTATACATGTGCCAACGAGCAATACAAGAAGCACTGCCTACAAGCTATTCCAAAACCGCAAACTTGATGGCGGCGATAGGGAAACAAAACCTTTTGACAGGCAGGTTGATGGCTGCATGCTGAAGTATCACGTTACGTCTTATCTCTTCACCAAAAGACACAATACAAACGTGATGCTGGATGACTGAAACCACGAAGTATGCAAGTCACTGTTGTGCATATAATTGTCTGCTTTCATCTTATGAGGGTTGTGGGAACATTCTGAACAAATTAGCCAGAATACCGCGGTGTTGAAATTCAATACCGAATAAGTCGGTATTCATGGATTGTTAGTTGGTATTGTTCGGTATTAAAATCAAAACCGCGGTATTCGGTAATACCGAAATACCGCCCAAGCCAAATTGAAGGTTCTTTTTCGTTCTAATTCCATTTTACAAGTTGAGAAAATCCATTAAATTTTATCACCCTGCATTTTGTGTGCTCTTGCAGCCATTCCAAATCCGCTCAGCACGCGTAATTTCACCGTCTTATTATACTACATGTACATCTTTTTTTATCATTTTATAACATCACTCATAAACTCATTTTGAAAAACAACTATTTTAGATGAGACCTGGGGTGGATTCACTTTGGGTGTTGACTTGATGGGTTTCAGGTCTTGAGTTGCAAATGTTAGTATTTTAATGGTTGTATTGTTGTTTGCCACTTCTTGTTGACTTCTGACATTTACCATTTCCCTAACACTGTTTCAAAATAACACTGTTCCCACTAAATAATACATGTACATGATATTTAAATTTACAATGTACACTGTATATGTATTATTTTCCAGTTGACATGGTTGAGGTAAAGACTTTTGGCCCCAGCCGAAGAATGTCTTGTACATTCCTGCATACTTAGTTATTCTTCATGCAGGAGATCCACCAGAAGTTGCCTCCTAACACATTAACCAGGATCGAAACAGCTTTGGCATTTAAATTACCAGTGTTCTTGTTGCAATCCAAAAAGACTTTATGACTGAATAAGAAGTTACACCATATCCTTCCACTGGAAAATATATTTCAACAATAAAAATTCCAATTATTAAAATGCCAAAGCAAATCATATGCCGCCAGAGCAACATCCGGGAATGGTCCTCTACTTTTGTATTGACTTGATGTTCCATCAGCAAATCTGATGATCCCGGTCACATCCAGTTTCTCTTGTAGATGCTTTACAGCCTCTTCCACAAAACGATGTACGGCATGGTAGTCATGAGTTGTGTCAGAACTGATGAAGACGAGTCTCTTGGATTACCTCTATGCACACTGGACACTGCTGGCAGCAGATGATTGGATGGATGGTGGCAGAAGCGTGGTGCCAGTGGGCTGACTGTATTTCGTCTTGAAAGATGCAGGTATAGTTCTGTGCAAAATTTAGGACCATTGTGACTGTCTTTGGTGGAGTGCTAAGTTTGACAAACTGTTCATGCTGCCAAGATGCATTGAAGAGGTGAGTGCTGATAGTTTCTGCTTCTACAAGGAGTTCACTGGTGCATTTGAGAATTGTTTCAACTTTCATTGTTATCTGTTGCTTCGCTACATGTATGTCTTTCCTGTTGTTGTTGACTGTTGTCCTTTCTCACCTCTTCCAGGTTACTTCTTTGTCTCCATGCTTCTCTATCAGCCTTTCCATCTTCTCTTTGATATTCTTGGTTCCACACTCCTTGCATTTCCTTTGGATGCATTCTCGTTTGTGGTACTTAAGCCCATTTATTTTGTTGCACATCGTATTACTCGATAATCCGTAAACCCCCTGAATGATGTTCTTCATTTTGTACGAGTGTGCGCTGTTGTTGAGTGCTGTGATTTTCAATGCAAGATTTGTAAAGTATTCACACAGGCAGCCTCACAGTTTTGTTGCCGATGCGAGTTTGATGTGCTTTGGCCTAAGTGCATGAAATTTCTTTAGTCCTATTTTCCTATTGGTGGTCTTTGCCAGCTTGGTTGGTGATGATGGTAGGCTTTTGAAAGCCCTGGATACTGCTTTTCTTTTAGCTTGACTTTTTCTTTCTGTCTCAATGATCTGTTTCTGTGGAAGGTCCTCTTCTTGCTGCAAAACTTTCAACAACTCTTTTTTTGGCAAGTTCTTTCTTCATTTTAATGTACATGTGCTTGTTTTCAATCACAAACGAAGTAAAAAAACCAACCGAGTGTCATTTATGTAAACCAATTCCTGATGTAATAGGGACGACACTTTCTAAAAAAGTAATATTACGTCAGTGTGTCCCTCACCAATATTTCTTACATTTAAAGAATCTTATAAGTTTTCTCATGGCTCATATTATTAAAAATGTTTTATGAAATATGGAAATAAAATGAAACGAGCTCAATCGCCCCCAAAACAAGGCCATGTCATTTGTAAAAGGCCATAGCAAATACGGACAAACAGTAATATCCCAGGGACACCGTGGAACACAAAAATGTGTTACACCAATCGTGCATTTTCGGACACACAGGACAAACACTCAAGTCCAAAACAAAACGTATACCGAAAAATACCTCAATATAAACCGTCTTTCATAATTCATGTTTTGAATGGCATTTCTCGCTTGTTATTATTTGTCATTGCCTCAAAAACGTGAATGTAAACGACGTAATGTAATTTTGAAGGGACGGCATGCACAATTGACAAGAATTAGCATGGGTCGTCGGCTGTTCGGCTACATGTTACACATTGTGGTGATTTTTCCAACATTGTTATGAGTATTTTGGTTCAATAAACACATAAAAAAATGTAAAAACTTACATGTACCTTTTTCTGTTTTTATGACAGGAACCAGTTTTAAGAATCCCGGCGTAATAATTCAGTTCCAAAGTAATGAGGTGTTTCCCAAAGACGTCATTTTGGAACTTGTGTAGTTTTGTGAATGAAATTCCCAAACTCAGGGGTAAATTTTACAGGATTCCTAGATTTATTTGCAAGGGTGCATGTATATGGCATGTACCACTTTCTCAAAGGGGTGGATAGATGCAAAAATTAATGGAAATGCTCACAATGTAGTTTTTTGCAGAAGGACGTTGTCTGCGACATAAGTTACATTGGTTGCACGATTCACCCGAAAGAGGTGTTTTCGAAATCCACTGTTTAATAGTTGCAAATGCGAGGTCCTAATAATTCGTTTAATCTACAATTTTGTAACTTATGTATATTTGTTTTTGAATTGTACCCCTATAGCTACGTAACGGTGCAATAGACATTGGGGATGCTGTCGTTACATCGTTATGATATAAATAATCATTAGGTAAAAGTAAACAAGCTGTCTCACTTTGACAAAGTGTGTGTTGATATTTTTAGTTCACAGTATGATGTGCACATACAAATTCTTTCCGAGTAAGAAACTGGTAGTTTTTCTTTTCATTTAAACAACAAAAACAACATTTTCTTTCTTTTTCCATGCAATAAAGACATGGTGATGCTATAAATTTTTTTTTACAAAATGAACAAACCTTTTTAGCCAAGTATGGTAAACATTGATAGAGCTTCAACAGCTCTTTAAAATAAAACATGTATCAAGTTTAATATTCATCATAAAAGAATACTCTGCACATTTGGAACGTGGGAATGTGTTTATTACCCACTGTGTCTGAACTTCATGGAATGACCCACATACATGTGTGCTTTTTAGTGTAAACCCAGCTGCTCTAACAATGCACATCTAAATGTGCCTGCCTGTTACTGTACTTACCAAAATTGTCATTTGGGCATTTGAGATCAGGAGAGAAGAAGAAGTCCTCATCAATGACCTTACTTGAATTGATGTTAATCACCATGATGCCCGATATCTTTCCAGACTTCATCAGTTTATTTACAATGTGGCTGGAGAAAAAGCACATTCCAGTCCGTTTTAAGATTACACCAAAAACTCAAAGTACATGTAGTTCTTAAGCCTTCATGCAAGTGCATCATGTATATCATAAAGTCGCCATCAATTGCGAGCAACTGCATGCTTAAAAAGGTAGGGAAAAGGCTTATAATATTAATATTGCAACATCTAGGATTTGGAGGTACTGTATTGGCTACCCAGAAACCAGAATACAATGAAATTATCTTCCGAAAATTAACACAACAGAAATAAATGTAAGAGGCACTTTCTGTTCCCAACCAACTGGGCCAATTTTGGAAACATGTGAGGTAAATTTTGTGTTTGTGTAGGGTTGATGACGTAACGGAGCAAAGGGTACAACAGGCATACATGAAGATTCATGTGTAAACTAGCATCACTGCAGCCCTAATGCATTAAAATGAGGAGTTTGGAAGACATGTAGAAAATGTACAATATTATACATTAATCTCTAAGATGCATAAACCTAAAATCTTACTCTTAGCTGGTCAAAATAATTGTGAGATTTCTTCCAAAATGAAGGAGTAAGAGACATAACATAACTTGTGTGGCATACATAAGCGAGAGCAATCATGTTCCCATACATGTACAGTGGCAACAGACTCGTACATCACAGAGTAATGAGATCGGTATAGGAATACCCAGACCTTCATCTTAAAGAACAACTCAAAGGAAAACATGTTTTCTCTGATTTTATCTGTTCAAATAAATATGGAAGCATCCAAATCGAACACAGGGTCATTTGTCTTCAGAGCTCAACTATAACAAGCTAAAAAGGCCTTGTTTGGCTGTTTGACCTTGAAATCAGCCAAGACAGTACACATGTACACCCTCTGCTTCCACAGTACATGTACAAGAACATAGTGAACATTGAGCACTGAGAGTGTTAACCATAAAAAAGATAGTGTTCCCAATAAAGTCAAGTTCATACATTCTTGGTTGAAGTTCTTGAATATATCACCATACAGTGTATTTCCAACAATTGGTTGAGCCAGTCCAGTATTCCAATTAAGAGCGCATGCCCAGTACAAATTTATTGAGGAACAACTACATGTACATGTACATGCGGGCACAAAGGTCTGTCCTGTTAGCGCAGCTTTCTGCTTTTGGGTGTCGACTACACATTTCCAACTGGGGAATTGTACATGTACATGTATGCTAGATTTAATTAGGTCCCCCAAATAGACTGGTGGGATTAATAACGATGCTCTGAAATACATGTACATATGTATGCACATGTACGTGTACCTTTCTTGTAAGTTTATTTGAGCTAATGAGATACATGTACGTGTACATGTACATTTAATCAGAAACGCAGTTGGGAATAATATACGGTACATGTACATGTATGTCCTCAGGCTCCTAGACCCCACACCACTGCAGTGAAAAAATCATTTCACTCTATTGGAAATAAATTGGCTCTGCTGTGAAACAAACCAACAATCATAAGGATTTTGAGACACTTTATTGGGCAAAATAAATAATTTAATATTTCGTTTGTTTTTTTGGCGTTGTAAATTCAGTCAGTGGTGCACATAGCAATTTTTATCTGAACTGTGGGTTTCAGAACCAATGGGTATAAGAATTTCCCTTTTAAAAATGGGTAATTGATTGCGTTATCAACTTTTCATTATTTAATTAGTTTTAATGCATTCATTATCAAATTTTGGTCTACTTATTTGTTTTTTAAATCAATATTATACTGTAATTCCTGGTTTTTATATCATATTTTGATGTCACATACCGTACATTTAAAATGTATCATGTTTATTTCAATGTACACATTGTATTTTGTAAAACTTAATCTAGGGCCCAAAGGGAGAGCAGTTCTTTTATATCTGATGGGGCTACCCTGGTAAAATAAAATGAAATACATGTACACGTACATGTAAATAAATATGCTGACTCACACATGTGCTTTGTTCCCGAAAAACCTTGGCTTTTTGCAATACATGTACCAATTTGGCCCATTGAGAAACGTTTGCTTTAAGTTATCTGGTGCATGTACCGGTACATGTACATGTATATATGTATAGTACATTTAAATAAGTCCAACTCCCTTTGATTTTCACTTAGAAAGAAAATGTTCGATGCAGTCTGTCTAATTATTCTAATATATGAAGATGCAAATTGCCCTTGAATTGACCAAAGTCACTCTTTTGACACTCTTGATAAATGATACATGTATGTAGAGTGCCATTTGGTTTCTGTTTGGAAGCATATGCCTTGCAGTGTTCTCCATGAGGGGTTTTACAAAAGCAGGGCAGGCCGCCCTGCCAAAAGTTTAGACCGTCCCACAAAGTTTTGCTGCCCTGCCAAAATTCTCATCACCCTGCTATGTTTTCTATTGGATTTTCCCTATTCCCACCATCTGCACAATTTATGCAAAGAAGTCGACTGCACTTTATGGAACGAACATGTTCAGTTTGCCATTATTCAGCACACCGTTGGTGATCAAAGCCAGATGCTGTTTACAATAGAAAAGCGCAAAACTGGTTCCAATCTACCGGTAACAGCATTTTCATTTTGAAGCGTCAAGAATCAATACAAGTTCAGTACCTCAAATGCGTTGGTTTTTTCCTCAGAAAAAACAGCCAATTTCCTACATGTACATGTATTTCTCCATATTTCCTAGATCCAGATCGCTTGAAATAAAATGTCTTTTCTTCTGCTTCTAAATTACTTCTTATTTGTGTGAGGGTCGGTAGCCTTTTCAGGGACACCGTAGTGTTGTCTTCTGGAAACTTCTGGAAGGCGAATTGCCGCCCAAGGGCCTGTCGCCTTTACGCAATTTAGTCCAATTATATTGTAATAAAGTCTCGTTGGAATCTATCATTTACGTGCCAATGTAAAGGTAATTAACCTCCAAAAATTTTCAATAATTAATATTGGGTCTAAACTTGCGCGTCTTCATTTTGCAACATTTTTGGTATTGTTCTAGCGTATGAATATTATAGGGAAATGTGTCTTCCGCGTACGCCGGACGAACGCTCGCTCCTTTTCTGGCTGACACCGAATGGTGAGACAAGCGTTTTTAATTGGGCCTATTTTTCTGCTTTTTGTTTCTCACATATGCCATTGTTGTTGTAATCTTGAGGTTGGGAGAGTGCATTCACCCTCCCTACGATTGCTGGTTGACTGTCCAGCCAATTGGACGTCTCCTAAATGAGATATTTTGTGCCCAAAAATCCTGTCAACAATTCTAGCGATCACATGTGTGTTCATCACATGTGATTGACCGTTCGTTACATGTGCGACCATATGTGTACCGTACTGCATGCTCATGTCATGTTGTGCTTTTTCTTGTGTACGCAGCCACTGTGTAGAGCGAGGGCGGTCCCGACCGGCGTCCGGGGAATTTAGATTAGGAATTTACTAAGTCTGGGGAATTTAGATTAGGAATTTACTAAGTCCGGGGAATTTAGATTAGGAATTTACTAAGTCCGGGGAATTTATTAGAGAAACTTATCTTTGGGGAATTGTCTTTTGTATCAGAACCTTATTGGGGTAACTTTGTCATCTTTTTTTTGGTGATCTGGAGAAAGTCAACAAATATTACAGTGAAGTTAAAACTGAATACTAGTGTGATTGACGATTGATTATTTCTGGTCTGTTGTCTGTTTCCCTTGGAGCATCCGGTCATAAAACACTGGCGGACTTACCACAACGAAGTGCAAAACTGCACTACCCTGTCCTGACCCGTGACATTCTGGCGTCGTAGACAGGATGCTCTAGGGGTATAACAGCATTACAGTTGATCCGTGTACATGGTAATTTAGTGTTTTTCTGACCTGTTGATTCTTGAAATAACATTCCCCGGGCGCTGGCTGGTTTCTCTTGGTGATTAGTCGTGAACGTGGACAACACTATCCTGCGTGCTGCATGTTACTCTGCGTCACCGTTATAGATGCTCTTGAATTAAGTACAGTGGCAAGCAAGAATTCTGCATGTTCAAGCCAGACGTGGCACATCGTGTTGCCAACATTGTTGTTCCTGCTGATTGCTTTCTGTGTTGTCTTCCAGGAGGATTTTTGGTGCTGCGGCACTTTTTCCGACTGATGCTTTTTTACTGGTATTTGTGCCTTATTGCAGTATACTAATTGTGTGTGGGATATCGTACTTAGTTTTCCCCACCCTTAGTATTTAATATACTGTCAGAGCATTTTTGTAGTCGATGCTTCGCATTGAGCACATATGCTTCCTTCTAGTTTTGTATGAGACAACCATAGGGTAGCACAGGCAGTGTTATCGTTTAGATTTTCTTTTAACCGTGAGCCATACATGTTTGGANGGGATAGTCAAGGAGGAAATTTTTTGCAGTCCCGATGATACACGCCAAGATTGGGAAAAGCTAGTCAAAGTTCTGAACACTAGATTTGGCTCGCGGGAATCAGTGCAGTCTCTTACCTCTGCATTTTATGCGCGCACCCAGTTGGAGGGTGAATCGTTGTCTGACTTTGGGCGTGCGTTGATGATGTTTTATAACCGTGTCGAGGCAGCAGCTGCTGATCCTCAGGAGGCTGAAGCTCATGTGCATCTCCGCGAGAAGGCTCTTAGGGAGCAATTTGTAAAGGGTGCTGCAAGGCCAGATTTGCGTCGTGAGCTGCGTCGGTTAGAGATGGATAACCCTGCAGTTCATTTTTCGAATTTCGCGATTTGGCTGTCCGGCTTTTCCAGGATTTGGATGATGTTGGTGGGAGTCCTTGCCGTGACATTGAACCAATGGTGGTTGATAAGGTAGTTGCAGGGGGTGCAACCCAGAAAGCCTTAAACACTTTAGTGAATGGTCAGGCTCAACTCCTTAAGGTCATGGAAGGTGTGCTTTCAAACCAAGGGCAAACAAGTAAGGCAATCGCTGACTT